AAAAAATTTACCTTTGCTCATTTATTTCAAAAGAGAAGACAAACTGCCAGAACTAAGTGTAAAATTTTCTTGAGTATCAATATTGTCACTTTCAGCCAATTTGTCACTGTGGAACACAACAGAAGAAAAAAAATATGGGTTAGCCTCAGTGTTCTCAGTTACCTGTGCAGCGTGTGGTAGAAAGAATGTTGTCAAGACCTCCAGTGAACACAGGAGTGGTCAAAGAGGTCCTCTCAGTCATGATGTTAATTCAAGAGCTGTTCTTGGGTGTCTACACACAGGAATCGGTGAGACTCACCTAAATAATTTACTGTGTACATTAAATATTCCCTCTATGAACCCGGTAACTTTCAAGAGTAGAGAATATAAAATTGGGCATGCAGTAGAGCAAGTAGCAAAAAAAAATTGCAAAACTGCAATGTCAGAAGAAAGAAATGCTGCTATCAAAAAAGGTGTAAAAGCAGATGACCAAGGCTGCATCAATATCCCCTGCTCATATGACATGGGTTGGTAAAAACGAGGAAAGGTGCATAACTCGTCAACTGGTCAAGCTGCAGTGATGGGTTTAACTTATGGGAAGGTTATAGATTATACTGCGAGAACAAAATCCTGCAGGGTTTGCACAAATACTAGAAAAACTGGAAAAGAAGCGAAGCAACACAATTGTCCACTCAATCATACAGCATCATCAAAGGCAATGGAGCCTATGGCAGCAGTCCATTTGTTTACTGAAAGTCTAAATTCTAGAGTCAAACTATCTGTTTTTGTCGGAGATGAAGACTCCACAACAGCTGCACATATAAAAGAGAATGTCCCTTATCCTGTAGAAAAGTGGACAGACATTGTGCATGCCAAAAGATTTCTAACTACAAGGTTGTATAACCTAAGCCAACGTGGGAAATTTGTAAATTCATCAGCTCTCTCACAGAAAGTTGTCAACTACTTAGTCAAATGTTTTTCTTATAGTGTGTCTCAAAATAAGGGGAATCTATCAGCCCTTCAAAAATCCTTAAAAAGCATTCTACCACACTACTTTGGAAACCACACAAATTGCAATGAATCCTGGTGTGGTGCCAAGAAAGACCCTATTAACTATAAACACTCTGACTTACCCTATGGCAAAGATCTCTATGGTGATGACTTGAGGAAAGCTTTGGAGAGAATTTTTGATGAATACTGTACTAATATAGTAGTTGCAAAGTTATCACCTGGGGCAAATTCGCAGAGAAACGAGGCGTTAAACAGTGTTATAGGGTCAAAAAACCCCAAAATTAGATACTATGGGGCAAGTGCTAGTAATGACTTTCGAGTGGCCTGTGGCATCTCCCAAGTAAACCTTGGATACCAGTACATTAGCCAAACACTTGAGAGCCTCAACATTGAACCTGGTATACACTGTATCAGCCACATTGAAAGGATGGATCACAAGGCTACCCATGACAAACTTAGAAAAACCAGCATTAATTTCAAACGCCGAAGAGCTCAACTACATAAGCAGAAGTTAACTCTTACAGGTAAAAAACAAGCTAAAGAAGGAAACACATACCAAAGTGGAATAGGACTTAACCTTAATCCAAACGATTCTACCAAACTGATCCAAGAATTTGACATCATCAATTTGAAAATTTCAAGTGAGGAGCTGAAAACCTTTGAAACATGCATTCCTGAATTAACAATCAGACCAGTGGTGGAGAAATTTCCCTATGACAGAAACACTGCTTACAATTTCGTAATTTACGATATTGATTGTTTGTGCACANTTTCCTGTCGTAATGTTTTCTTTTCTGACACTCTCCCTGTGATGAAGAACTTGGTCAAACGTAAACATCCCTCTCTGGTCTCATCAGATGGTTCCACAGTTAAATTAAAACAACAATCCATTTGCCAGACACTTTTCCATGAACCTTTCCCCGCACACGATGCAATGGAGGATGTTAAAGCTTTAAGAAGAATAGTCTTTGACTCCTGTTTGAACGTTTCAGAGGACATGTTGATAGAAAACATGTCATCAACACAGTACGCAGAAAACGACATGAAATACCTTGATCGTCGCTATGAACTCCTGCAGACGTTCCGAGGAACTCTTTATCATCCAACAAACGCAGAATTTCCCATCAAGCAACAAATTGCTGAAAAAATAGCCGGAAGTGGCATTTCATACCGAGATCTCAAAAATGTTTTCGAGAAGTTCGGAGCAAAAGGGCTTGTTGGCGTATTGTCTCTCCCTCCATCTTCATCAACTTGCAAAGCCCCGCGAGTAACAAAAGCAACCCGTATTTTAGCCAAGATCGTTGAACACTTCAAAGCAGCGGAGGAAACTACAAGTTAACACGCATTTCCATATGTTTTTCCACACGCAGGTATACTTTTCGCTGTGGTGGGGAAAAGTAAGCGTCTATTTCTCGGCTAATTTTCAGCTAGCACGTTCTGAAGAAAGAGCGACGAGAGCGTGTGCATTACCGTAACTTGAATAATTTCTGTTTTGATGACGTCACGAAAAACGAGGGTTTTAGAGTGATCTAAAGGCGCATATTGGGCGCGTTCCAGACGGTGAATTTTTTTGAAAATTGGCACATAGCTGGGATTTTTCTTTTTCTAGCTCTAACAAAAAAATCATCGAACTTTATACATACATAAATGTAATACGCGTCAAAAGTGAAAATTGCAAAGTACTCCGAAAATTATGTACAGATTTTCTTGTGGCTTTATCAGTTGAAACTCCTTGAATGTTAACTCTGTTTCCCCAAAAACAAAGGTCATACGCAACTCAGCTTTACCTTACTTGTTGGTTCTTGTTTGTTCTTGCAGAGCCACCAAAAATAAGTCTGTCATCATTACAAGGAAGTTACCGCCAGGGATCCTTTGTTAATATCAGCTGCACAGCATCAGGGATTCCAGAGCCAGATGTTACATGGATCAAAGACGGAACAGTGATAGGTTCGAGAAAAAGAGCAGCATTTCTTATCTTCAACAGCATAAGAAGAACAGATGATGGATGGTATTTATGTAGGGTAAACAACACAGTTGGCATTATAACCAATCATACAACACTCATTGTTTACCGTAAGTTATATCAATCATATTTTTATCATGTGTAACCGTTCATAATTATCATTACTGTTATTATTGTTACTACAATCTATGTAATAATATAATCAATAGTTACTTTGAGAAAAAGGCGTTTCAAAGCCTTCGATAGCAACTCCATAAGGAGTGCGAAGTTTGTTACTTGCTTTTTGGAATGATTAAAATGCAACCGAAGAAACTAGCCGAGTAGAATTTGCAATGTCTTCAACGCCCAGGGGAAGGCTTTGAGGGTCCTTTCTATGTTGAAATTTCCCAATAATGAACATCATTATAATTATCGTTATGATTATTATTGCAATTATTATAATTAACAGCAGTATGAGAATGATCGTAATTGTTTTTAACTTAACGCGTACCATTTGATGACAAATATCTAAAACCTTCATGGCATGTACATTCAATGTACATGTTTTAAGACTTTGTTATGAAATACTAGACCGTCACCAAAATTAAAAAAGTGTCATCCAACAAAAAGTCATTACTGAGGATGTAACTTTCTTTGATGCTGGGTAAATCTTTTGAGGGGCATGACATTTCCCCGATACAACACGGCAGCCGAGGAGGGGAACCAGTCAGGAATCCATTCAAAACACTGGGCCGAAATTGGGTAATTCTACACCATTTTCGTCCTGAGATGAAACCTCCTTAAACTGTACAGGTAAGTAATATTTCTACTGGGTGATGGTATAGCCCGATATAATACAGTCATTTCTTGTTGATTTTAAAGACCCGCCAACTATACAAAGTGTAACCACGTCATCCAGTAAGTCTGGTATTGGTCAGACAGTGACCATGAGGTGTTTTTCAAATGGTGTTCCAACACCAACACTCACCTGGTACAAACCTGATGGAAGTGAATTAAACAGAGTAAGAGCGAGAGAAAACAAAGTGCACTTGAAACTCACGGGTGTTCAAGATTTTGGAGATTACAAGTGCAATGCTGTCAATGGATTGAGTCCCTCTGATGACAGAATTATGAAGATAACACAAATAAGTAAGTTTATGTGAAAGATTCATCGTTAAGTGTCACCACGTGATCCCTAAAAGTTTTTTCCTCCGAAAAATAAACTCCAAATTAGGTCAAATGAAGGCAAGTGCAAGAGAACTGGTTTGTTTAAAACGAAAGGCATCGCCAAAAACTTCATGTCAGTTACACCGTGTACACTCTCTCAGCTTTGGTCGGTAAGTAGTTAAATATTAAGTGAGTAGAATATTTCATCATTTAATTTGCCGAACATCGTCTATTAATAATCTCGCAATATTTTAATATGATTATGAAAAAATAGATAAACCAGGCCCGCCATTGATGGGATCATCAGATGAAGGTATCCAAGCTAGTTCACTAACAGTACGGTGGACTGCACCAGCTGATGATGGAGGGAGTCCTATCACAGGATACCGAGTAGTCATGCTCAAAGGCGACGCTGAGATAAACAGTGTTAATATTACTGATCCTGGTACAACAAGATATACTTTTGAAGGTCTGGACAGAGATACAAACTACGCGTTGAAAGTGTTCGCAAAAAATGCTGTGTTTGAAGGAGACCCTGTAGAAACCACGGTGAAGACAAAGTTTGAAGGTAAGCAATCACAATAACAATGTGTCTATTTCCTAACGTTACTCATACGGAGATTCTAGTTTTAGACATTTAGTCAACGTTACTTTGTAGACATTACGTTCTGCATTTTTTAACAATCAAGGTCCCCCGGCAAAAGTGGAAATGTATGACCTACCCAGTGAAATAACAGAAGACGCAATCATCTTGAAGTGGAAGGAGCCAGAAAAATATGGAAAAGAAATTACACAATATACTGTGTACCAAAGAATAGCTACCGATCGGAAAGTAGGAGAGTGGACAGTCGTAAAAAAAATTATGGACGTCTCAATCAAACAGATGACAGTCAGGTTGGAAAAGGGCAAGATGTATGAATTTGTAGTAACTGCCACAAATGAGCACGGTGAAAGTTCTAGAGAAGAAACAAATATCAAAAGAGTAAAAGTGGTAGATCTACGAAACAAAAAAAGGAAAGGTAAGGACGACATAAATTTAAATATTGATTCAGACTTAATGTTTTGGACAGAATATAGTAATGTTCTAAATTTTGCTTCTAGGGCTGCCGTTACCTTGTCCAGGAGGGAGGAGCATGAGGTATCGGTAAAATACATCAATCTGACCAAGAGTTCGCTGGGTCAGATTGATGTAAATCGTGTGAACATGAGGCGTTTATACAATGAAGAATATCCTATAGGTATGCAGTGGGGACCAAAAAGCTTTAAAAAGGCCCTGATCCCTTTTGTTGAGCACCAGGACTTGTGATACTCTTCCTTCCAATGGTCCTTAAATTATTCGCTAAGACATTGCTGAGTCCATTCCTCGAAATAGTCCACTTTGAATAGCCAATGAGAAGCAGTATATAATATATTCTCTGTTTTCGTCTGCTTGTTCACGAGAAATATGATCGATACAATTGCCATCACGTGTTTGAGCCCTCCTCTATGACGCCATTCCTGTTTTTTATGACTTGGCTACTGTGGCGTTATTTTAAATGGTCTGGCTTTAATTCTTAATTTTCTTTAGCTTCAGAAGAATGCAAGTGCTCATGCCAAGACGTCATGTTTATAGCCATAATTGGAGTGCTTTCATTCGTAATCCTTGTGTTATTCATTTTCACTGTCTGGTTACATAAGAAAGGTAAATACATTATTCTTCAGTTTTGTCTTTACTGTTCGGTCTGATATTAAAATTCCTTCTGAAAACTAATCATAAATCACTCAAAATATTTTGTTTCTTAGGCGCTGGAGAAAAACAGAGGTAATAACTCTTCTTTTTCCACATTAAGACCAGGCGTAGCCTAGTTGGAAAAAAAAAAAAAAAAAAGAAAACATCGTATAATTACAAGGAGGCATAGCTGTTCATTAGACCCAATGATCATTTGCGGGAGGTGACTCTTGGATGAGCATTACTGAAGACAAAAAAATACAACTAAACGTGTCACTAAACAAAATTCGTATTTCATCACAACGAAAATGTGTCAGAAGAACATCAAGAGTTAGCTGAAAAAGGAGGTAGTTTGAAAATAATTGAATATAGACTTGCTTCTTGGCTATCAGTTTACTTGTGGCGGGGAAGGTTGAGAAGCAAAATGATGCATATTAAACCATCTCCTTAAATTATCACTTTACTCTTATTTAAGGGCGCATAAAGACGAAAGTGCCTACGTGGTAAGTGTCCTAACATTAAATTAAATTGAACAATGTAAGCAGTGATAGAAAGAAATGACCTCAACCAGGTTCTCTGCATGGAACCAAAGTTATCCTTTATGATGACGTATCTTTACTTTCCATGAGCATCTAAGATGAAATATTACATTATCAGGGAGATGTGGAGTTAAAGGACCTGGAATTAAGCTGTCTTGACTCGGGCGACTTTCCCCAGCCTCCTGCAGAGTACATGGATATAAAAGAAACAACCACAAATGCTAGTCAAACACAAACCGCTGACCAAGCTTTTGCTTACGCGCCACTTCATCCTTCGACACGCGCCTGGGAAGTATCACGGGATCACGTGACAATAGAAAAAATCATTGGTAAGGGCGCTTTCGGTCAGGTTGCAAAAGGAAAAGCTGTAGACCTTCGTGGAAGGCCTGGAATGACGACTATAGCCATTAAAATGCTTAAAGGTAAATATTTACCCTTTCGCGAGGGACAGTTCTGAAAAGTTGTAGTCGTTGTTCAGCGTGGTGAATGATAAGCTGCTGACAATCGTTTGTCGAAAGTTAAAGACGCATTTCCCTTTACCTCCATGTCAAATTTGAAAATGACAAACTTGGACGGGAACAGTTGACAAGGTTAAGAGGCCCCGATTTACTTTTCCTTCTTTTCTGAGTTTTACTTAGCAAGGCTATCTAGATAACCAAGAATGACTCAGGCATTTTTACAAGATTTTTAATGAACAAAGTGTCTTTAATTTTTGATACTTTTAATTGTCAATGACGATTGATATAGTAAATGAGATACGTGACGACTTTTTATCTTAAGATGACGCCTCGGATTCAGACAAGGGAGACTTGGTGAGAGAACTTGAAACGATGAAGCAACTAAAACCCCATCCACACGTCATAAAACTTCTTGGATGTGTAACAGAAAATGGTGAGTTGTTCTCGTTAACTGTCCATGATATTTATGGTTATTACAGACCACAAATTGGTTAAAGTGAATGGCACTATGTATTGTTACCTCAAATTCGGTAGATGGTAGATTTTTTCTTTTTTTGAAAGAGAAAAACGTTATTCGAAGCAATAAAACTTCTGGGATGTGTTACGGAAACTGGTAAGTTGTTTTCGTTAACCGTTCATGATAAATTATTATTATGTAAATGATATGTGTATTTTTTAACACAAAGAATTTAAAATGCACCATGTCTTGTTATCTCTAGTTGGTAGATTTTCGGTTTGAAAGAAAAAAAAAAATTTTTATCCGGATTACTTTGTTAATCTCCTTTCTCAATAGAACCGCTTGCTTCTTTTTCAGAGCCCTTACTGGTGTTGATCGAGTATGTTTCTTTTGGAGATCTGTTGGGTTACCTGAGGAAGAGCCGTGGATTGAATGACACTTACTTTAAAGACCCAGATATCAAACCACAAACAAATCTGACGTCACAGCAGCTGATAAAGTTTGCTTCGCAAATCGCCGATGGAATGAGTTACTTGTCCTCAAAATCTGTGAGTTTTATTACAGAAACATCAGAGCATTTGGTCCAATATTGGTGTATGCAGTGGGAAATTTCCTAGTTTGTTATGGAATAGTTTGATCTTTGAAAGAGAAGAAACCCAGTATTTGTACGACTGGTTTCACTTGTGTTGATTATGATGTAGGAATCTTTATTAATATTCCCCTATGGCTAGATCATCCATCGAGACCTCGCAGCCCGAAATGTGTTGGTCGGGGAAAACGAAACATGTAAAGTAACGGATTTTGGAATGGCCAGAGATGTGCAACAAGAAAATATCTATGAAAGAAAGACAAAGGTAATTTCAAACACTGCGGCTTACCTTAAATAATTCAAAGCTACAATCTGTAATGGCAGAGTTTTGCTACGACTCCAGTTGAAGTTGCAATTTTATTTTCCTGGAATCTCTTTTTCTTTAAGGTATGTTGCTAGTATGCAAATGAAAATTTTTCATGAGGTGACAGTATGTTGCCATGACTTCAGTTGAACTTTTTCAAGGAATCTTTTATCTTTTTTAAACTTGTTGTTGGTGTTTGAATGAAAATAAGTCATTCGGTAACTATGTAATTTTACCATGACTTCAGTTAGCCTTGAAATTTTTCGCATTGAATTTTTTTTGATGAGCTATGTTGTTGGTATGTCAATTAAAAACATTTTATGTGGTAAATTTTAAATCCTAAGGGTCGTCTTCCAGTAAAGTGGACAGCTTATGAGGCGTTGATGTACGGCACATATACCACCAAAAGTGACGTGTAAGTACAGGCCTTACTTATTTCGTATGATATTGTCCGTCCCGCTCCAGAACTTTCATTTCTAGCTGCGTTGCCATGTTACGAATGACGGGCCAGTTCGTTGCTAGGAGCCACGCACGCGTGTGTGAGATAAGATAAGTTGAGTCTGTAAGAACGTGAGTGGTGAAAGCGGTGTTGTTAATAGTGTAAAACCCGCGAAAAAAGTTGTCTAAAACGAACTAGCCGATTTTAATTGTCGTCCGGCAACGAAAGATATCGCTACGTATTCGAACTCAGGACCTTCAGAAAACTAGTCTGACTAGTGCCCTGGACCAACTAATATGAAGAGTAGCATCCACACCTGTTTCCCAAAGTATCAGGCTTTTAAGAGTATTGCTGCCGTCACTGGATATTTGCAAGTCTGTCGCTGATTGACCTTTCATCATTTTTCAGATTTCCCTTTTGATTTGGTCGTGTTGTTTGAACCGGTTTGCCATCATTCCCTCTGACGAAAGGGCTGGCGCTCGAAACTTTACCTTTGAAATCCTTTGATAAAACCAAAATTACCTTGTTACTCCCACCGACGCAGCACCACAGTTTCTTTAGAAACTAACCCCCTAATTAATTTGTTTCTAAGGGCACTGCTGATGTTGATATTCTAATTATCCTATTATCTTTTAGATGGAGCTATGGGGTTCTCCTTTATGAGATTTTCACAATAGGTAACAAGTCATTCAAAATATATATTGAGAAACAAAGAAACGTATCAAGGATCGATTATGACATTTACTTTGAAGATCAAAGTAAATGGTCATAATCGTTTGGAATGTTTGGAACTCATTCTAAGCTGTCTAAACATAACGACTTTGGTATTACTTTTCACGGAAAAAGTCTAACACTGGTGAACAAGTTCACTTATCTTGGTATTATATTTGATGAGGCTATCTCTTGGGCTCCCCACATTCAGCACATTATATCTAAAGCTGGCAAAAGGCTAGGTATGCTATCTCGATTGCGAAGAGATTTAACTTGTCATACTGCCAACACTTTGTATCTATCATTTATTCGTCCAATATTTGATTATGGTGACACTGTATGGAATTGTTGTGGAGTGAGCAATGCCAGACTGCTGGATAATTTTCAAAGAAGGGCATCCAAAATTGTTTCAAAATCTAAGAGTAGTGGTCAAGCTTTAATGGATCATAAATGGCCTGTATTACAATCGAGAAGAGACGAACATACTTTTAAACTAGTTAACAAATGTATTTCTGGTGACTGTCCTCAATTTTTAAGCAATATTTTAATTTTAATAATACCAGAACAAGACAGGGAAATTTGCTTCATTTGCCTTGCGTTAGAACTGAAACAGCCAAGAAATATTTTTTTTATCATGGATGTGTTGTTTATAATAGTCACGTTAATTAGAATTTTCTGTAATATTATAATGTATAGATTTTTTATTATATTATATTTATTTTTGGATCCTATTCACCAGGGCTCCCATTGATAGCAGAGCTTTATGTTCTCATGGGACTACCCTGATGTTGGGATTTCTATTTATTTTAAATAAAGGTGTCATTCGTTCAATGTAAAAACAAATAATTTAAGCTAAAACAACATTCTTAAATTTCCGGCACTTCAAAGTTAATTTTTTTCAAACTTTGTTGTTGTTATTCAACAATTTCACTGGTCCAAACAAGACTCATTTGAGATCGACCTTACTTTCTGTTAATTACAAACAGTGGAATATTTGCATCATTTTCAGGTGGTTCACCATATCCACGGATGGATGGCAGGAAAATTGCGAAACTACTTCAGCAGGACTACAGAATGCCTAAGCCACAGCACTTGGACGACATATTGTAAGCGTTCCATACTGTTTGTTACCTTCAAGTTTCTCTTTATGATATAATATAATATGCAAAGGCAAGTGTCAGTTAACTTTGGTTTGTCGTTAGTCTCATTGAAAGAAATATTTCGCCCAGTGCTTGTTTAGTACATTCCCATTAAATTGATATCAAAATTAAATTTTTTTGAGGGCAAAAAAGTTTATTTCTCTGTATGTTTGTTTGTTGAACGTCTTCCACCTCCTATCTTTCAGGTACCAGATCATGATAAGATGCTGGCAAAATGATCCGGAAACTAGACCAACATTTACTCAATTGAGAAACCAGCTTAAGGAGATGGAAACCCAACACAAGGTAAGACTTTAGACCATAGTATACCAAATAGAGATCATTCCGAAGAAAAGTGTGCGACTTCGATTTTTGTTCACGAGTTGCAATGAATCAAAAAAAACCGACGAGAGTGCAGCAAATTATTGAGTTTTTTTCTACATTGCAACGAGTGAATAAAAATTGTCCAGGCACTTCCATGGTATGGTTTCATACACACTGAGCCGTGGAGCACGCAGCGAGCGACATCATTCGTCCAATTAGAGACACGAAAGATAGTACTTCATAGTTGAAATCTCAGGTGAGACTGTCTCCATGTTAGGATGAAAGCTTAGGCAGTTATGTTTACATTCAGACCACTGTTTGAGGTGAGAATAACTGCCGGCTTCGATATCTCCCTGTACTGAATAATTACATTGTTTACTTTTCTCTCTGCAGAGGCTGATCAACATGAAAATGTACGACAAGCAGTTGTATGCAAACGTCGAGGACTTAAACGTGTAGATATGTACGAAGTGGTGAATTCCTCATATCTCGACTAACGCAGTTTTTATAGCAATCATGAGTGGTATCATATTCGCAATTGGCTCGAAATATAAACTTGTTAGAATGAGGCTGAATTAATTAGAGTCACACCTATGGATCTATTAGATAATATTGCAAAGAATCCCATTCTGATCGAAATCTTTCTAAACCTTTTTAATGATAACGGAGCCCTTCTCGAGCCAGTTTCCAATCTTTTTATTTAGTTTTTTGGTTAGTTTGTTTTTGTGAAAGTTCGTGTCAAAGGAGAGGACTTAAAAGAAAAATGAAGATAGCAAAGCATATTCTTTAATGCTGACTATTGTTTATGACTTGCAGCCACCGTCTTCCAAAAGTAACCAATCCTCTCCCCAGTAAGGTTCTTGTACGGGACCATGATAATTGTATATACTGCAGCCTTATAACTTGCGCTGCATGCCTTATCTAATTTGTTCAATTTATTTGAAAAAATATGCTGGTAAGTATCTGATGTCCCTTCTCACTACACAGTACTCATAATGAAATGTTTATGACTTCAAATCTAACTGGAGAAAGTTAGTTAAAAAAGTCATTCACCCGAGTCAGTGTTAAATGGTGGAATGAGTTGCCATTAAGGGCCTCTTTACAAGGAGGTAGGGGACCCTAAGCTTGCCTGCCTGTGGTCGGAAAAAAAAAACCCGCGTTTACATACAATCTCATCATCCGAGGATCCTGAGGTAAAATTTCTACAGGTTGTTGTCGCGTGTGCAAATGAGGTATGGACCCGATGCCAGCCAGAAGGGTTACCCCACCTTGGGTCGTTTTACATGGCAAACTAAGACCCCGCGCCGGCTGAGAAGATTACCCAACACGGTAGTCCGGGCTACCCCACCTATCACATATTTAAACGTGTACAAGATACGAAGACATTATATAGACAGGCGGGTCCACAACTTCTATGTAAACAGACCCACAGTAGATGTCACCAGTCTTTTTCATTTTCTCTTCTAAAAAAATTCTAGGCTTTTGAATCTTGGGTCTTTCTTCAAATGGTCTTCAAAAGTTTGGGTCTTTCTTCAAATGATAGTCGTGTTAGTCTCCTACAAAGCGCTCACGGAGACCCGAGTCACCGACACAATCCAGTTACAGGAAATAAGCAGTCAATATAAACAAAATGCAATTGAACCACGAGACTAGTTTCCATTTATAGCGTTGATCCACGCCACGTTACCGTCTTTTTTTGGCAAGAGAAGCCATTAATGGCCTTATAAACAAGCTGAGTGAGGTCCAGCACCTCTTGTACGAGATCAAGTTTGACCTTCTTGGTATTACTGAGACCCACCTTAACTCAAGTGTGTCAGACGATTGGATCAGAATTTCTGGATATAAATTTGTGAGAAGGGATCGTGGTTCCTGTGGAGGTGGTGTTCTGATATATTTTAAAGAATATCTTACTGTATACCCTTCTGTTTCTTGGGAAAGACCAAATTTAGAAGCATCATGGCTGAACATCACCATGAGATCTCAATCCTTCCTTGTTGGCTGTGTCTACAGACCACCCGATGACTCCTCCTTTTTCGACTCTTTCAGAGACCTGATTTCTAATATCTGGCTGAAAAGAAAAAATGTAATACTTGTTGGCGACTTCAACTCTGATATGTTGCACAAACCNCACAGTTCTTCCCCTTCAAGAACATGGTTTCAACCTCAGCAAGAGAGAGTTTCGCGATGCTGTTAAATTACGCTATGATTGGCCGTTCGATGACATTCCATCAGTGTGTGCGTGTGGGGAAAACTTCACAGTAGACCACGCAATGATTTGCAAACGAGGGGGCTTTGTTATCCAACGGCATAATGAGTTGAGAGACCTCGAGGCCGACCTTTTGAGTATAGTGTGTACCGATGTCGAGGTCGAGCCAGTTCTCCAAGACATCACTGAAGAACAACTCAGCAGAGGGTCTAATAGAGCACAAGACGCAAGATTGGACGTTCGGGCGCGTGGCTTCTGGGATCCCCAGAGCTCGGCATTCTTCGATGTGAGGGTTTGCCACCCTAATGCCGAGTCTTACAAGGACCGGGAACCGCAGCAGATTTATCGCGTCCATGAAAACGACAAGAAGCGACTGTACTCAAGGAGAGTGTTGGATGTTGAGCATGGCTCGTTTACGCCGCTTGTTTTTACAACTACGGGAGGGATGGGGATGGAATGCATAAGATACCACAGCCGATTGGCCGAGCTGATAGCCGCCAAGAAATGGGAACGAAACTCGCAAACAATTTCCTGAATCCGAGCAAAGACATCCTTTTCCCACCTTTGGTCAGCCTTAGTTTGCCTTCGAGGATCGCGGGTGAAGCGCCGCGCTGCGTATGACTATAATAATTGTGACGTTGAAATCGCAGCTGCCGAGGGAGCCATTGACATTGTTCAATGAGTTTTAGCAGCCTTGTATATAGGGTTCTAGATTTGCCATTCACCTTTCTCTTTGCTGTACAGTTTTAGATATGCCATTAATTATCAGATTATTAGACTTTGAATCTGTTCAGATTTGACTCCGTTATTTATAGTTTTCCAGACGCTTTGACAAACAAAAGGAGTAGATGAAAACCGAAAGTGAGTTATTTTGGATCGTTTTTTACGCTGTTAATATTTTGTATTGTAGAGGATTTTATGGAAATTATTGTTAAATAAAATTGTTTTTGTTATTATTACTATTATTATTGTTATTATTATTACTATTATTATTGTTATTATTATTATTATTATTACTATTATTATTGTTATTATTATTATTATTATTATTATTATTATTATTAATTGAAAAGGTGCAGTAGCCGAAGTGAATTAATCCCTTTTCAAAAAGGTTGGCAATATTTGCAACAGCTATTGTACTCAATATTCCCCCTAGCATATCCCATCAATCATTAGCAAAATTGTGCGATTTATTAGTCTCTCATATTCATAACATAATTGCAGCACATAAGAAATGACACTCCTATCTCCAACAGGTTTACTCAATGACAAGACACACATGTTAAATGCAAACACAAATGAGGAGTCCATCTATAGTACCACAAGGAATGAATAAAATATTTTATGCCATTCTGTCATCCCCACGCCTGGCTGTAAGTTTTTTAAGACTAGTGAAAAGAGCTTCTTTAGACGCCCAAGCATTGACAACATGACAAACAAAGAACTCATCATCAGAACAGACGATGAGATTGCACTTTATCTATTTGGCCATGAGAAAACTGCTGCCTCTATCAATACAATTGTCCAGAAGAATACAACGCCCCTTCAGAAAAACATCAAGCACCAATTGAAGTACCATAAGTAAGTTCTCCTCCAATGAATACAGGCCACTCAGAACTGTCTGCCATTGTGATCGTGGATAATGGAGAAAATTTCATTTTTAACGACTTCGACTTCGAGTTACAGGTGCTTGGTATCACTGAAGAGCATCCCACATATTATAATGCGTAGATTTCCAGTGTCGTTCACACCCGTCTGTTGAAAAGCATGTTTCAGGAACCTCTTGCGTTTGAGGCCAGCCACCCTTATCATTGGTTTTGAAAGTTTGGTGGCTCTTTAGGAGCCATTGTTTGCTTAAGTGACATTAAACCTTCTTCCGTACGACACAACTAGCAGGGAATCTCCATTCCACTGCAAATCTGTTTACAGTGTCTCCCACAGCTGGACATGTCAAAAGCAGCCTGCCACAAGATAGAAACATACGACACTCTCAACAAATTGGCAATAAATGTAGAAAGTTATTAAAGTCCAGTAGCCCTTCTCATCAAGTATGATTTAGTAAGCTAGAAATAACCCATCCAACAAACTAAAGATTTCTTCGTGTTTAAGTAAAACTCTATTGAAAATTTGACAAGAATGAGCAAAATAGTGCTTCAACAATACGAGAGTAAGATCAAACACAAGTCTAAGTCAGTAGATATAATGCCTTTAGTAGTACCAGTACAGCTACAAATATAGATAAGGGTTCAACTTATCCTCAGTTTTTGATGCAAGTGAGTTTACAGGGGCGTATATTTAATGATGCCACCAGTAGAAAAGACCTTCCTCGAGACTTCATTTGTGATTTCTTTTGATCCCTTTTCAAAAACCTTTTTCCAGAATTTGATTTGCCAAACTTGGGTTACAGCTTACCTACTACTGCCGATTAAACACCAGTGTTCTCAACATAGTAATAGTAATAGTAATCAAAGTTCAATGTCTTTATGTGGGGCATGGTTACCCATATTGCCCGAGCCAGAGGCTCATGTATGAAACGGAAGACAACAATCCACTCATCCCACCCCAGGGGAGGACATCGATCACACAGTAATCTCGTGCGTGGGAAATTAAAGTGCACCTAAACCCAAAATTTTTTTTTCGCTTAACGAAATAAGCGTATTTTTTGGAGTATTTCTGTGCAAACATTTTTTTATTTGCTCAAATCTTTAATTGTCTGTGCCCAGTCAAAATACGGAAAATCGGCCGCCATCTTGCCCCACGGCCGAGTTTAAAGAGGAATGGCTCTAGCGGGTAATGTGACGTCAAATCGAGAACACGAAAGTCTGCATTTCACACATTTTCGCTTGTTTAGGAAGGTTGTAGTCGATTTTGTCCGAAAATATGCCGACTAAGTGTGTTATAGGAGGATGTAGCAACGTGCGAAATTTGCAAGAGGGTATCACGCTTCATACATTCCTCATACAATACACCTGGTCGGCATATTTCGGACAATATCGACCACAACCTTCCCAAACAAGTGAAAATGTGTGAAAAGCAGACTTTCGTGTTCTCGATTTGACGTCACATTATCCGCTAGAGCCATTCCTCTTTAAACTCGGTCGTGGGGCAAGATGGCGGCCGATTTTCCGTATTTTGACTAGGCACAGAAAATTTAAGATTTAAGCAAATTAAAAAATTTTTGCACAGAAATACTCCAAAAAATAAGCTTATTTCGTTAAGCGAAAAAAAATTTTTGGGTTTAGGTGCACTTTAAAAAAAAATAGTATGATA